AAAATATATATATATTATATATATATTCATATATAATTCATATATATATATATATATGAATTCCAAAGTGTTCTCACATCGTAATTTCACTATTAGCATTATTTATAAATATTATATAATCTGATAGTGAAAGAAACTTTTCTATGACATCAGTCATTGAACTGGACAAGAATGATACATTTAGCCACATAGAGAAATAAATATTACGTAAATCAAAACATCCAACAATCCCCATAAAAAAAGACAAAGAGAATGGGAAACATGTATAGTAGCTGTAATAAGCAAAATAGATAAATGGCTGATAGTGTTAATATACCAAAAGCTCTTTCCTATAAATCAGAACAAATAACTACACAAATAATAAACAAGTACGTCATTCAAGAAATATAAATTGCTAGTACATATGAAATAATATCTAATGTCATTTATAATATCAGAAACTCAAATTAAGGAAACAAGGAATCATTGAATTTTTTTATTACAGTACAGAAGATAAAACTGTGTGCTGTTGGAACAATACAGATAATTTTTTAGACATGAATTTAAAAATAATAAAATCTTATACTTATTTGCTTCTTTTACTTCTTTGTTTGAGAAATGTCTGTTCATTTCAGATGCCCATTTTTGAAATCGGGTCTTTGTATTTGGGGGGCCTGATTTTTTTGAGTTCTTTCTGTATATTAGATAAGAGTCCTTTGTGTGAGGAGCAGCTGGTAAAATATTTTTCCCACATTGTAGATTGTCTGTTGGAAGCTCTGTTGGTGGTTTCTTTTGCAGTGCAGAAGATTTTTAATAAGATGAGATCCCAGCTGCTGATTCTTTGTGCTAATGTTCCACATCACTGGTCGTTCAAGAGATGCAGATGAAAACAACACTGAGATTCCACCTCATCCCACAAAGAATGGCTGCTGTCAAGAAATCAAACAATAACAAATATTGGCAGGGTTGTGGGGAAAAAGGAACCCTTCTCCATTGTTGGTGGGAGTGCAGACTGGTGCAACCACTATGGAAATCAATATGGAGATACCTCAAAGAGCTGAAACTAGAGGTTCCATTTGACCCAGCTATCCCTCTGCTGGGTATCTTTCCAAAAGAATTAAAAGAATCATATTACAGTGATATATGTGCACCTATGTTTATAGCAGCACAGTTTGTAATAGCTATAACTTGGAAACAGCCCAATTGCCCATCAGTTGGAGACCAGATAAAGAAGATATGGTTTTTCTATAAAATAGAGTACTACTCAGCCATAAAGAATGAGAAATTAGAGTCACTCATAGGAAAATGGATGCATATTTAGGTCATACTCTTAAGTGAAATGTCAGTCACACATGTGTAAATACCAACTAGTTTCTCTGGTGTGAAAAACTAAAAGTATAAATAAGATCCAAATGGTATAATTAACAGTGTGAAACAAGAAGAAAAGGGCTAAAAGTGTAGGGGAAGTTGGAAGGGTAGGAGAAAGGAAATAAGAGAAAATAAAAAGTATGAGAAAATAAAAAATGGGAAAAGGTTTTTGTAAATAAGGAAGGGAGGAAGGGTATGGGGGAAAAATGAGAACCAAAACCTGTCATGTAAAGGTACAAGATCCCAGTGATAAATGTAACTGTACTGTATACCTAAAAAGTACCAATAAACTCAATGAGAAAATAATAATAATAATAATAATAAATAATTAAAAAATCTTCAAGAATTGGTATATATTTTGGATCTAGATTTCAAAATCTTATTTTTTGGGAGAATGAAAGAAGGTAAAAAAACATATAAAATGATAATTTTTAACTCTTTTGAGGAGATAACTAGAAGGGAGATAGCTGGATCAAATGGAATATATTTTGATTACTTTGTCACTATATATTTGCTATACATACTGATCACAATCACATAGGAAATTTGTACCTGTACAGTACATAGCATGTCTTCAACTCTTCTTTTTTCCCTGTCCCCTTTCCCCTTCAACCCTTCTCTTCTCCTCTTTGTAAAAGCTCTGTCTTATTTTTTCCCTTCCATTTCTTATGTTTTTAATCCCTCTTCCCTCTTTTCCCTTCACCTGCCCCCTCCCATTCCCCTTCCCATTTCAACATGTTCTTCCTACTTCCTGATATCTCCTCCATTTTTCTCACTTACAAAAGAGAAGCAATATGATATTTATTTTATTTAAGACTATGGTAGTGAAGTGTCTCCATTTACCTAAAAGTGAATGAAGTTCATCCTGCTTTATGGAAGAGTAGTACTCCAGTACCACTTTTTTATCCATTCTTTTGTTGATGGACACATGGGCTGTTTTTAAGACTTAGCTATTATAAATTGTGCTTCTGTAAACATGGATATACATATATCACTGTGGTGTGATGCTTTAAACTCTTGGGGGAAGATACCTAAAAGGGGAACATCTGGGTCAAGTGAAACCTCTAGTTTTAGTTTTCTCAGGAATCTCAACATTGATTTCCATAGTAGTTGTACCAGTTCACACTTCCCAGCAACAAAGGAGAAGGGTTCCTTTCCCCCGCTCACCCTCACTAGCATTTGTTTTTGGTTTATTTCTTGATGATAGCCGTTATTTCTGGAGTGTGGTGGATCCACAATGTTGTTTTAATTTATGTGATAGTTAACTGATTGTGTCACCT